TCGCCTAGCATGGGCAGGACCCGGGTTCAATTCTCAGCAACACATAAAAATAAAGGCATTGTGTTGTGTCCATCTACACCTAAAAAATAAATATTAATAAATAAATAAAAATAAATAAAAAAGAAAAGATACAAAAAGGGCTGGGGATGTGGATCGGTAGTTAAGCACCCCTGTGTTCAATCACTGGTACTTAAACACACACACGCACGCACACACACACACACGCACACACACACACAGCCAACCAACAATGAATTCTCTCTTTCACATATAGCATGACTTCTCATCTCCTTCATAGCCAATTCTGGAAAGAATTATCTAACCTAACAGTCTCAATTTTCTTGCCGGCTTTTCCAGAACTCTACAGAAACTGCTTTTGCCAAAATCATGCCTGTATATTTTAATCAAAGGACACTTGTAAGCCTCTTGCAGGCAGCATTAGACATGGTGATTCCTTGGAACTTTCTTTTCCCTCAGCTCCTATGACTCCACAGAAGCCTGACATCCCTTCTTTCTCTCAGTGGTCACACTCCCTGGCTCTCCTTGCTGGGTGGCAATCTCACCCGTGACTTCAATTGCTGTCTCAGACCCTGCTGATCTCCAAGTCTGTACCTCCAGCTTGTACATGCTGTCTTCCTAAACTGATGATTGTAAAGCAACACAGTATGATTTCTATATTAGTCAGGGTTTCCTATAAAAACAGAATCAACAGGAAGTATGATTATTAAAAGGGGATTTAGCCAGGCACAGTGGCGCATGCCTGTAATCCCAGTGCTTGGGAGGCTGAGGCAGGAAGATGGGGAGTTCAAAGCCAGCCTCAGTAACAGCGAGGTGCCTAGCAACTCAATGAGACTCTGTCTCTAAATAAAATACAAAATAGGGCTGGGGATGTGGTTCAGTGGTTGAGTGCCCCTGAGTTCAATCCCTGGTATCGAAAAAAAAAAAAAGGGCTGAGATTGTAGCTCAGTAGTAAATCACCTCTGGGTTTAATACTCAGTACCAGTAAGTAGTAAGTAAATAAGGGCTGAGGATGTAGCTCAGTGGTAGAGCCTTCATTTAGCATGTATGAGGTCTTCAGTTTGATCCCCATCACTACCATCCCAATTGCTAAAAAGGGTTTCTGACTCCCATAATTTCATGAACAGTTTTCTTTTAACAACAAAGCAGCCAAACATGAAAAGACTTATCAACTGCTCAGATACAAGGTGTCTGATTAGAAAGTCCTAAAGCTCCAGGAGTTTCTACTAGGACTCCCAGTGCACCAGGGAGATATAATATGGGTTTTCCCCTTATACTAACTCTAGCATATTTAACTCCATTATAGGAATCTTGAGAATGAAAGACTAAACTAAGCACTTTTCTGTTTCAAACTCAGCAGTGACGTCCCATCAACTGTGAGGTTGAGGTCTCACGGAACCAATCACCATCTTTTGTTTCATTTGAGGTCCTAGGGATTAAACACCGGGGCACTCTACCACTGAGCAACATCCTTAGCCCTTTTAATTTTTTCGTTGTTTTTTTTTTTTTTTTAAATTTTGAGATAGGGTCTTGTCTCTTGATTTGTACCTTGTGAAACCCAGAGCAGACAAAGAGCTGATGCCTGATGTATGTGAGTTTCTCACACAATGTGTGAGATAGCAGGTGCCGGTTTAAGCCACTAAGTTGGTAGTATTTGTTATCACAGCAAAAGGAAACTCATACAAGCTCTCTGCCTCCTCTGCTCATCCTTGCCTGCCTTGCTCAGGCTTGGCCTTCTCTAAACTCCTGTCATACTAAACTTTTTTCTTTCCTTCTAGTCCCCTTTGCATATCCTGTTCCCCTCTTACAACAGTCATCTCCCTCCCTCCACTTTGTCTTGGTTATTTCCTACCTTTAAGTCTTAATCAAACCACCATTTTCTAGGGAGGCCTTCTTCAGAGGCAGCACTATTAGAAAACAGACACTATTTCTAAAGTCTAATGTGGCTCTTATATCATCAGGAACATTCTAGGCTTAAAGTAGCAGGGCACTGGTGATTTAAATCCAGTCTTAAGGGATAGGGAGCCGATACACTAGCATTGGGGGACTAACGGGTTGGAAAGAGTGTTGGGGCTTCAAAGCATTGCTGAGCCACCCTTCCAACCCTAAATGGCCTTCTAGAAACCTCTCAGCAGACCCTTTACCATTGGTCATAACCATGTCACATGGGCATTAACATTTACAAGGGAGTTTGGGAAACCACATAGCTGTCATTAAAAGATGGGTTTGTCACAGGGAACCCAGGCCAACAGTGATTTACCCCTTAGGGCTGAGCTCACCCCAAACAAAATTAGCACTGTGTTAGCAAGAAAGAAGAGTAGGAGGTGGAAATGATGAACATAGGGTAGGTAATGAACCATGAAGGGTATCTGCCATAAGGAGATATAGATTGATGATAGATGATAGAGGGTTCATTTTGCCATATATCACAAAGCACATCACTTTATTAATTAAAAAAAAATACCAATTCTTTCAATAAAACTAATCATTTGCTATATAAATCAACCTTGGAATGGAAAAATCTAAAATAAACTTTGATAATATAATAAACAATTAAAATATTCTATCAATAAAAATAAACATGCCGGGCATGTGGCACAAGCCTGTAATCCCAGGGTCTTGGGAGGCTGAGACAGGAGGATCCTGAGTTCAAAGCCAGCCTCACCAACGGCAAGGTGCTTAGGAACTCAATGAGACCCTGTCTCTAAATAAAACACAAAATAGGGCTGGGGATGTGGCTCAGTGGTGAAATGCCCCTGAGTTCAATCCCCAGTATCAAAAAAAGGAAATAAAATAAAAACTAAAAACATATGATATGGGTGCAGTGGCACACGCCCGAAATCCCAGCAGCTCTGGAGGCTGAGACAGGAGGATCATGAGTTCAAAGCCAGCCTCAGCAAAAAGCAAGGCTCTAAGCAACTCAATGAGACCCTGTCTCTAAATAAAATACAAGATAGGATTGGGAATGTGGCTCAGTGGTCAAGTGCTCCTGAGTTAAATCCCCGGTATCCCCAGAAAATAAAAATAAATGTATTCTGGGCATGGTGGTGCATGCCTGTAATTCCAACAACTCAGGAGGCAGGACGATTTCAAATTTGAGGCCAGCCTCAGCAACTTAGTGAGGACCTAAGCAATTTAATGAGGCTCTATCTCAAAATGAAAAATACAAATGGCTGGGGATGTGACTCAGTGGTTAGGTGCCCTGGGTTCAATCCCCAGAACCAAACCAACCAAACAAACAAACAAAAAAATGTGAAGCTGGGTTCAGTAGCACATACCTATAATCCAAGCACTTGAGATACTGAGACAGAAGGATCCCTTGAGCTCAGAAGTTTGAACCAGCCTTAGAAACACAGTGAGACCCCCATCTCAAAATAAATAAATACATAAATAAAGTAAAATAAAAACAAACGTGGACATTTAAAGTAAAGCAAAATACTTCTTTAAAAAATTGATATTAGCAAATGATTTAGGAGTAACTTCCTTTTTTTCCTCCTCCAGTTATTGGATTTCTCTGGAAACAATGCTAATACTTTATTAAACACTTGTCTCAGACTGTTCCCTACAAAGTTTCTAGTTTTAATTTGGGAAAAGAACATTCTGTGGTAGATAATGAGAGAAAATTCAAAAGCATAAAATAGTAAGATATACTTTATAGGAAAACTTACATTCATGTTGTAGAGTTTTATATTAATTCTAGAAGTCCAAATTCTCAGAAGTCCAAATCTCAAGCAAATATTAAAATAACTGGGCATGGTGACATTTGCCTATAACCCCAGTGACTCAGGAGGCTGAGACAAAAGGATTTCGAGTTCAAGGGCAACCTCACCAATTTAGCAAGATACTGTGTCAAAATAAAATAAAAGGGGCTGGGGATGTACCTAAATGGTAAAGAACACCTCAATACTGCAGAGAAATAAAAACAAAAACAAATGTATTAATATAAATTTAAAACAGTGCTAAGAGTGGAGGGGACATCAGCAGCTCATACATTAACATGAATTTCTAGAAGACAGAAAATAAATGGTATCATACTGAGAAAGAAACTAGAGCAGTAGAACCTTTGCATAGAACCTACCCAGGAGGGGCTTGGGATGTGGCTCAATGCTAGTAGAGTTCTTGCCTAGCACGTATCAGGCCTGGGTTCATCCCTAGCATTGCCAAAAAACAGAACAACAACAACAACAAACAAACAAAACCAAATAGAACCTACCCAGGAGAAGGCTAAGGGAGGTGAGAGGCTCCAAATAGAAGGCACTGGATTTGCAGAGAGGAGTGGGAAGTGGGAGAGAAAATGAGATGATTAATTAAAGGACAATCTCGTAACCACTCCATGGCCATCCCTGTGTATAGAGTCAATATTTCTTCCCTGAACAAAAAAAAAAAAAACCCAAGGATCATGAATACATATATAAAGTGGCCAAGCACATGGCACAGGTAAGGGAAGTAGATGGGAGGTTGCAGGTAAAAAGAGACCACCTGCCTGACTCTAGGGGTAGCTTTGCTCAGTCCGTCTGTTTCTATTCCCTGAACTTCTAGGAAAAGCTATAAACCTGGATTTTTAGTTAAAAGTGACCAAATTGTTGACAATTTCTTGAATATATATGTAAATCTCTGTCCACAAAAGGTACATGGGGCCCATGGACCACCAGATAGAGGTTTCTTCTAAACAAAATTGAATAAACTACCCTGGAAGTTTCCAGAAGTGAGTCTGTGTGTGTGTGTGTGTGTGTGTGTGCACATGCATACATATGCACATGCATGCATGCATGCACACTGGTGGGATTGAACCCAGGAGGAAATATTTTTAGACACCTCTAGGGATGTAGAGCAAAATGATAAAGAAATGGGAAAAAAGAGTTAAGCGATGGAAGATCAATTCATTCAATGTATAACATAATTTCCAGAAAGAGAGTACAGGGGAAATGGAGCAAAAGAAATAATCAAAGACTCTATTTGATGGAGAAAAAGGTGGCTCTCACCTTGGCTGCTTGTTGGAATCACCTGAGGAGCTTTTCAACCACTGCTGGAGGACTCCCACTTCTGGCAAGATGGAGGAACAGGGCCCCCACGGGAAACAACCGCCATCACCATTACAAAGACATAGCAAAGACAGACAAAATACAGGAAGACAACAGTGTTACAAACTGTGCATCAGACAATGACAAACAATAACGAAGGCAATGAAATCCCAGAGAGAAAGGAAACATGCAAGGTTTGCCCTTCTAAGATTGGCCAGCTTACTCTCTCAAAAGAGTTCCCAGTGGCAGAGCAAGGAGGGAGAAGTGAGGTGGAGCCCAGAGGACTTTCTGAGCTGAGGAAATGGAGCTGAGGGTCCGAGAGACCACAGCAGCTGGAGCTGGAGATGAATAGTGGGGAAGAGAGAGTTGCAGAGAGACCCAGAGACCTTCAGAGGGTTCCCTCAAGTACTCAGCAGAGAATTAATCAGCACATGTGTGTGAGGAAACTACCCAAGGCCAGGGAAAGAACCATCTGAAAGGATTAGAGGGAACAGTGCCCAGGACTCACACAAGGCCAGGGCCAGGGCATTTTCCCACCAGCCAGGCTGCTAACGTTCAGAATTCACACAGCACTGGGGAGGGAATAATTAACCCCAGACTGAACACTGCTCTGGGCCTGCCTAACAAGTCCTAAAGATTATGCCAATATCTGGTGCTCTACAAAGTTAGATTTACAATATTTGGAAATCAAAGTATTATTAGGCAAAAGAAACAATGCAGAGACAACATACAGGTTGGGAAAAACTATTTACAAACAACACATCTGATGAAGTGTTAATATCCAAAATATATAAGAATCTCAAGGGCTGGGGTTGTGGCTCAGTGGCTGAGTGCTTGCTTAGCATGAGTAAGGCACTGAGTCCAATTCTCAGCATCACATATAAATAAATGAATAAGACAACTATCATATATATATATATATATATATATATATATATATATATATATATATATATATATATAATTTTTAAAAATCTCAAAAAACTCAAAAACAAATATCCTGATTTTAAAATGGGCAAAAGACCTGAATAGACGTTTCTCCAAAAGAAGATATACAAATGGCCATCAGATAATGCCAGACATGGTGGTGTGTACTTGTAATCCCAGCAACTCAGAAGGCTGAGGCAGGAGGATTGCAGGTTTGAGACCAGACTGGGAAATTTAGCAAGACCCTGTTTCAAAATAAAACATAAAGATGACTGAGGGTGCAGCTCTGTGGTAAAGCACCCCTCGTTTGTCAGGTAATAATTAGCAGTGAGCAATGAAATGCATGCCAAGGCCACAAGTGTTCTTTAAATTGCTATAGGGTTTTTCTTTAAACACTTTCAAGATGGACAAGAAAGCAAAAGATGGTCATTAATTTGTAGAAAATAAATGAAAACAAAGGAGTTAACTTGGAAAATATGTCAAGAGAAAAGAACTAATGTGACTAAATCTTGACAAGGTCCATTGAGGTTGGTATGAAACTCGGGATTGTGGCTGTAAGTGTTTCTATTGTCTGGGAAGGAGGATTCCTTCAGTGGTGACACGCTAGGATAACCTCTGACCAGCTACTGGCCCCAGTGTCCACATTAACAGGATTGACTTGTAGATGAAGCCCCCCTAAATAGGATGGCCACAATGACAGTTCTGGAGAGGACCAATTAAGGTCAAAAACTCCATCATCTGACGTGAAGGAGGAGGAGTTGGGCACCTGATTGGTGAAGGTTGCTGGAAGAGGACCCCAGTTCTCCTGGTAAACTTCAAACAGTAATAAATTTGGAGGCAGCATTGTAACCCTTGTCATTCTCTGCTGAGAGATGTCCTCTCTCTCTCTCTCTCTCTCTCTCTCTCTCTCTCTCTCTCTCTCTCTCAGAGTGCTCTCCGCTTGAGCCTCACTTTGCTTTCACTTTACTTTCATCTCAATTTCACTTATAATAAAGTTCTCTTTATGGATTTGGGTGTCTGACTAAATTTCTTTTTTGTCGGAACATAAGAACCAAGGTTTGGAGTTTTAGCTCTCTGCTTTCCTGTGACAGTTTCAATACCGGTACCCACATCCTCAGAAAGAAAGAAAGAAGTGGCGGGGGGAGGTAAAGAGGGGAAAAGGAGGAAAAATAATACTTGATTTCAAAAGAAGGCAGAAAAAAGGTAGTGTTGTGGCACATGCCTGTAATCCCAGCAACTTGGGAGACTGAGGCAGGAGGATCACAAGTTTAATACCAGCCTCAGTGAGACCCTGTCTCAAAAAAATAAAAACAAGTGAGGATGTAGCTCAGTAACAGAGCATCCCAGGTTAAGTCCCCAAATCCCCAGTACCCCCCCCAAAAAAAAGGAGGAAAAAGGGACCAAAGAACAGATGGGTCAAATGAGAAATAAATACCTTTAATAGTGGCTCTTGCTATAGAGCCCCCTCCTGCTGGTGCGTGAGTACTCGTGTGTGTATGTATGTAACTGTGTACTTCTCTGGGAAACTGTGATGAGCCCAATCAGGTTTGTGTGTATGTATGTGGAGATGGAAACCCCTGGGCCAGAAAAAGAAATAAAAGGCGTCCAAAATGGAAGGCTATTTTTTTAAATGCAATAGTAAATATTGAACCCAGGTCCTTGCACATGTTGGGTAAGCACTTTGCTATTGAGCTACATCCCCAACCAAGGCATCCACTTTGGAGAGAAGGAAATAAACCTGTATTTGCTATCAAGTGTGGTGGCACATGTCTATAAGCCCAGCAGCTCGGGAGGCTGAGGCAAAAGGATTGCAAGTTCAAAGCCAGCCTCAGCAAAAGGAAGGCACTAAGCAACTCAGTGAGACCCTGTCTCGAAATAAAATACAAAATAGGGCTGGGGATGTAGCTCAACGGTCGAGTGCCCCTGAGTTCAATCTCCAGGACAAAAAAAAAAAATCATGTACATGAATTTTCATAGCATCATGTGGAACAACATACATTCCTACAACTGATGAATAAATAAAATGTGGTATATCTATACAACGAAAGATTCTGCCATTAAAAGAAATGTACTGAGGGCTGGGATTGTGGCTCAGTGGCAGAGTGCTCACCTAGCACGGGCGGGACCTGGATTCAATCCTCAGCACAACATAAAAAAATAAATAAATAAAGGCATTGTGTTGTGTCCATCTACACCTAAAAAATAAATATTTTTTTTAAAAAAAGAAATGTACTGATACATGATACAACATGAATGACTTTGGCGACAAGTGAAAGAAGTCAGACACAAAGGGCCACATATTGTACTAACCTATTTATGTGAAATATTGAGCATAAGCTAATCTGTAGAATCAGGACTTTAACAGTGGCCAGTGGCCAAAGGAAAATGGGACATGAGCAAAGACTGTTAATGGATATGGTTTCTTGGTGGAGAGGCTGTTAAAATGTCTTGAAATTTTATAGTGGTGATGGTTGCACAACTCTATGGCAATACAAAAAAACACCAAATTAAACACTTTAAAGAGGTGAATTTTATGGTATGTAAATCATATCTCAGTTTTTAAAACAAAGTATAGAGAAAGGGGAATTTGATAGACTATGTTATAATGATAAGCAGTCGATAGACCATGAATAAAAATATAAGTAGTGCCCTTTCCCAGGAGATGATGATTGGAATCTACTAGCAGATCCAAAAGCAGGAGTTGAAGACCAGTGAGGACCACTGTCCCAAACGCAGAAGATGGAGACACTGATGGTGAGGAAGCAATGATTAGATCCCTGAATGACAACTTGGTTGTGAGACTCTCCACTACAATGTCAGTTCCTTGAGGACAGGAATGGTAATCAGTTATGGTAATCCCTGGATCCATCACCTATGGAGACCCTGGCACATAGTAGGTGTTCAGTGAATGTTTGTTGACTGATAACTGACTACAACCTCACACAAGGAGCAGGCCTGGAAGTGGGCTGCAAATCCCAAATCCGACTTCCACACAGGAAGTCCTGCTATTCTTTCAGAAGTGTAATGGGGCGAGGAAGGAAAGGAGGGTTGCCATGGATACCTCTGTGAACAGAAGACAGTGCTGTGCGGGAGGAGGTATGGGCAGGTACTGCCCAGGGCAGAGGATGCAGAGGCTCCACGCTGCACCCTGCTCTAGGGAATCATGGCAACCCCCACCTGGAATCCGAGTGAGCGGCTCCCAAGACGCTTTGGAGGCGGAGGTCACATGTCTGCAACCTGACCAATCAGCAGAGACCTCCACCCTCCTTGGCCAGTGTGATTGGCTAAGGTCTGGGAATGTGACCAATCAGGTCAGACCTTTAGAGAGGACACTTCTGTTGGGTGGCGGAGACAGTTGGGGGCCGTCTTCTCTTCCTCATGGTAGCCTTTTCGGGAGGATGATACCAGCGCAGAGGCAGTTTGCAGAGCCAAGCCGTCAGGACAGGTAATCCAGATGTTCACTGCAGGAGCGTCTCCGTCTTGGCCCTGGAAGAATTCCGGAGCAGAATAAGGAAGGGCACAGAATGGGCCCAAGTTTGGGATCAGCCATGACCCTGCGTTCCAACCCCGAATCTGCTCCTTGCATATCATGTGCAGCATCCAGCAGAATGTTCCCAAGGTTGAGGTCTGATGGACGGTGCCCTTCTGGTGGCAGTGGTACACAGCAGCTGTCACTTGTGTGAACTACCTTTGTCACACTACCTTTGTCACATTTTTAACTACTATAGATTCATATACTTTAGCGTTAAGAGAAGAAACTCTTGTTTTAAAAAAATAAAGAAGAAAAAAATTAAAACATAAGGAAAAATAAGAGAAAAAGTGTGAGTGAGATAAATTCTTTGTCCTTCACATCTCTTTATTTGGGAGGAGGGGATACTGGGATTGAACTCAGGGGCATGCGACCACTGAGCTCCATCCCCAGCCCTATTTTGCATTTTATTTAGAGACAGGGTTCACTGAGTTGCTTAGTGCCTCGCCACCCTTGCTGAGGCTGACTTTGAACTGTGATCCTCCTGCCTCAGCCTTCCCAGTAGCTGGGATGACAGGCCTGTGATTTGTGTGTGTGTGTGTGTGTGTATGTGTGTGTGTGTTTGTGTGTGGTACAGGGGCTCAAACCTAAGGTCTTGTGCATGGGTGGCAAGCACTGTATCAACTAAGCTATATCTCCAACCCACAACACATTCTTAAAGCTATAAAGATCCGTCTTTACAATCCGAGAGGAAGCTTCTGGAAGAATTAAAAGCAGAGCCCCTTAGAAGTGGTTATCTCAGGGGGATGGGAGTGGATGGGGATTTTTTTTTTTAACTCTCTTCATTTTATATGCTGGTAAGTAAATTAACTAACGGGGGAGTGAATTAAACATGTCAGAAAATTTATGATGAACTTTTTTGGGGAATTCTGCTTTAATTCTTATACTCAGAGCATCACCAGATCGTTGACTCATAGATTGTGTAAACAGTT